ACAGGAGGACAGTAGAGCAGTAGAACAGTAGGACAAGAGGACAGGAGAACAGGAGGACAGTAGACCAGAAGAACAGGAGGACAGTAGAGCAGTAGGACAGTAGGACAAGAGGACAGTAGGACAGGAGGACAGGTGGACAGGTGGACAGGAGGACAGGTTCCACAGTCCAGCGGTTCTCGTGCTGAAAAGCTGCCGACCACACAGATTCTCCTCGGCAGGAAAATAAAGTTGAGCGTTGTCCTCGTGACAAAGTGACAGTGGCAGCTTTAATTTATCCAAAAGCAGAGAACTCCCCGAGGCCATCGACCCACTAAAGATTTCTGACGCCCGTCCATGATTGTCTTTGTCCCGCTCCGCCTCCACCGAGACTCTGAAGTGCTGATGAAAAGGTTCGGGGGGGTCCTCCCGCTGCTTATTAAGAACGCTGATTTGCTTTAAGCGGATTTCTCGCTTGTCGTTTCACTTTTTGCTCTGTGATCTCTTGTTCCTCTCGCTCTTCCTCTCGCTCGTTCTTCTCGCCCTTTCGCTCTCGACGTCAATGACGACTTCGGATTCCTGTGATTGCTTATTAAGGACGTTAATTTGTTTCCAGCAGTTTTCCCCTGATACTTGTCCTCTAGATTTCCCACAACTCAAACTCAACATTTTGCCCTCTTCACTTTCTCCCGTGTCTCGTGCTCTTTGTCCTCGTCCTAAATGCTGACCTCTCGTCCTCTGGGATTGTCCTCGTTGTCTCTGACGGGATGACAGCGGCGTCCACAAACCTCTAATTGCAGTGCGGCTCGTCGTCCAATTATATCAGAGTAAAGAAAATGGAAATGAGGTCTCGGAGTAAAGCTGATAGCGAAGCTGTGAAGGTCAGAGGTCACAGCAGCTCTGAAGAGATGGAACAAAATATCCACACGTCCGCAGACGATCATGAATAATGGACGAACACGTCAGAGAGAAAATGTCTCTGAGGCCCGGACGACAGTTTCCAGAAGACAAAGAAAAATGCATGCTTCCAGCTTCACCCACATTAAACCTGTAATAAAAATAAACATGAATTCAGCGTCTGAGGTTCGTTACGCAGTATCACAGGTCAAAGTTTAAATCCTCGCAAAAGAACGACCGGGCCCTAATTCCTGGATCCCGATTGGGACGGCTCCCGGTCCAGTCGTCCGATCCAGAGGAACCAGTTTGAGGACAGAAAATGTTAAAGAGCATCGTCGACTTGGATTCATGATGGTTCAGTTTGGTCATTAACTCAGATTTTATGACGACACGGCTCCACTTCCGAAAATAACTCCGATACAGAGCGGCCATCTTGAGCTCTTGACGTCAATCGTGGAGTGGAGCCGTCGTATCAAGCTGATTCACGCTCCTGACCAATCAGGAGTCAGTCTCAGCTGTCAATCATCACGTCTCCGCCCGTTTCTATATCATCAAGTAACTGAAACCAAACTGATCAGAATCACTTGAACAAACATCAGAGTGATTATTTATTGAACGTCTTCGTTGATTTTGTTTTTGTCCCGTCTGCTAACATGGAGGAGGTGGAGTTTGTGACCTGTACTGCAGCCAGCCACCAGGGGGCGATGAAGATGCTTTGGCCTCATGTTTACATTCGTTAAGTTTTTTTCTGGTTTCTATTAAAACTCTTTCTGTCTTTGAATCAAACATCGTTCTGTTTCTAACTTTCCCTCGTGTTTGTTTGTTTGCACCAATTTATTTGATTCATGTTAAATAAAAAGACATTTTTTCTTTTGACCAAAACATCTGGTTTCAGTCGCCTGGTAACAGAAGTTTATTCTGCAGAGTGAAACCATCAGGTGACGTTTGAAAAGATGAATCTGCTTCACAAGCTTTTCTATGTTTAAATAAATAGTTGGACTCGTTGACTTGTGATCGGTTGAAAGAGTCATTTTGAACCAACAACAACCACTGATCCTCATTCGACCTCTGAGTCGACCTCTGAGTCGACCTCTGAGTCGACCTCTGAGTCGACCTCTGAGTCGACCTCTGATGCCTGAGCTGTGTTTGGAGGAATCGTCCGTCAGCTTCTTACCTGATTCTTTAACTTCTACAAACTGGTTGAAATGTGTTTCAGTGAACAATCAGCTGTTTGTCTGGTGTCGTTTCAAACTGAGTCCAGTCTGTAGTAAGCAGGGGGGACGGGGGGGAGGCAGGTGGGTGGGGTGGGTGGGGGTACTCACTGTTACTTACTTGAACGGCTTCTCTCCCGTGTGCGTGCGGATGTGGTTGTTGAGCGTCGTGGCGCCGGCGAACGCTCGGCCGCAGTATCCACACTTGAAGGGTCGGTCGCTGGAGTGAGTCACCACATGGTTCCTCAACTCTGACGGCTGAGAGAAGGACTGAGAGCAGTGACCACACTGGTACGGCCTGAGAGAGAGGGGGGGAGACGGGTGAGAGACAGGTGAGAGACAGGTGAGAGACAGGTGAGACATTTGAGGTCCTGGCAGCACCTGTACTCTGTTCTGTGTCTTCTCTCCAAAAACTACAAACTGCACAAACAAATAGAAACAGACAAAACAATAGTGAGATAAAAATACAGAATCAGACGGAGAGAGAATGATGAGGCAAGTAACCACACACACACACACACACACACA